TAATATTCTCCTTTATTCATGTTTTTCTTAGAGCTCTTATTTTTGTAAATTTCCAATTTTATAGTTTTCTTTTTATATAATTTCACATTTTAATTAAAACAGACTGTCCATGTGATGGCTTCAAATATTATTCCCTAGGACTTTTAGTTAAGCGTGCATTAAAAAAAAAAAATCCCAGTTTCAGAGCATTAAATACTCCCCACTAAGGGGCCAAGTTATCTTTGGTTAGATTGCCCCATTTTGGCTCCAGAATAAACTATCTCTTATCCCCTTTGAGGTGAGAGTTATGCTTTTGTGTCAACAGTAAGGTGTGGCTGTTTATGGGGTTAAAGGTGTCCCCAGATCGTCTGTGAATAGGCTCTGGATCTGCAACATTGCAGACGCTCCACAATTTCCAGAGTGATAATCAGTTGGTGAGCCTTGCAGGAAGTTCAGTCCAAAGTGCAGGAGTTCTTTCAGGAACTTTCTTTCACAATATCCTGAGCCATGTTTGTATACTTGTGAAGATTTTTTCTATTAGTTTATTGTAATATAATCACCTCCCAAATCCTATCAGTCTTAGTCTTAGCCTTTTTGTTCCTTAACTAGCTAGTGATGTGTGCACATTTATAATGGGATCCAGCTGGCAAAAACATGGCCTCATAAGCCTCATCCACAGAAAACTGCCTTTTCCAACTTGACTTCAGCAACTTTTAGCACTTTTGCATTTAAAGGTCTGAATTTAAAAATGTACATGGAGTCTTCTCTAGCTCTGTGTGACCTTAGTTTAGGGAACTGGTGGAGAGGAACGGCCCAGAGAGGAGATAAGCTTTGGTGTTTATGGAGTGGGGTTGAATGTGCACAGTGGGAGGAGACTGACCTTCATTCCGTAGCTTAGATGTATATAACCCTGACAGGATGTGCAGACTGAGAGGAGAGTATTCTGTTTCCATTCTATTTGAATAACACAGCTTAGTCATTTCTCATCCAAATCCTGGGTATCCTCCTTGGGTTGCATTCATCACAACTGATCTGTCTTTCTTTTGTGAAAGAATGTATCTTGCAGGCATATTGTGTTCAGTCCCTTTCATCTCTGCTTTTACAGGAAGGAGAGGCTGAAGGGGCAATAAAAGAAATGAAGAACAACCCTAGACCTACCAGAATGGACTCCATTGACACGTAGGTGATAAAAGACTGGTGCTGTCAGGCATACAGAAGGGGCAGTCTTGTCACTTTGATTGAGCCCATCATTGGGGGACAAACCTAAGGGGCTGGGAAAAAAAAGTAACTTTGTTGAAGCAGTTGTCTTGCTATGTTACCTAGATTTGCTTCAAACCTGCAGTCATCCTCCTGCCTGAACCACCTAATTGCTAACATTCATTTTCAGTGATATTTAATGTTGTAGCTCAATTTAGCACAGGATGAAAACTGTCTGGTGCCTTTTTAGACTAACAAGTGCAGACCATTCTGTTATAAAGGTGTTTCATACCTAGCTAGGCATGGTGGCGCCTTCAATCCCAGCACTTGGGAGGCAGAGGCAGGCAGGTATCTGTGAGTCTGAGGCCAGCCTGGTCTACATGATGAGTTCTGGGCCAGCTGGCTCAAAAAGACCAAAAAACAAAACAAAACAAAAAAAAATGTTTCATCTCTATTAGGAGAAAACAACAAATTCATCCTTCATCCAAAAAAGGCTTGTTCCTTGTCAGAAAGTCCCATTTGCTCAGTTGTTAAATAGTTGTACTATTTAAACTAAACAGGCTGCCCAGCTTCCATTAAGTGGGATATGTTCTTTTTCTCTTCCCTAGTCTTTCCCAATTATAATAAACCACAAAAAATGGTATTGGTGATCTTCTGTGGCAATGACTGTTACAGGTTTTAATCACTGTGAGCATTTCTTGAAAGTGTGCCATGTATTTTTTTAATTTTTATTATCAGCATATGTGTATGATGGTGATGGGAGCCACACACATGCAACTGTGCACATATGGAGCCAGAGGACAACTTGTGGGAGTCAGTTCTCTCCTTCTTCCATGTGGGTTCTGACATCAAACTCAGGTTGTCAGGCTTAGCAGCAAGTGTTGTCGACGCCAAAAGCATAACTCTCACCTCAAAGGGGATAAGAGATAGTTTATTCTGGAGCCAAATATGGGTGACCATGGCCCCAGAATATAGGTTCAGGTTACCCCAAATTCCATGTTCCAGCGTGGTAACAGTTGCCTTACATTTTTATAGTAACAGAACAAAGAAAAGTCATAAATCAAGACACTTTTCAAATACATTGGATACATTTAGTAGGTGGGCCACAGCAAAGTGATGGGTTTTTTACTATAAGTCTCAGATGCTATCTGATGACGTTCTTAACCTTTTGATTGGTGAGACTGGGTGGACTGCTAGGATAATACATTCTAAAAGGTTTTTTTAATCTGTTAGTCACAGGATGTTAGATCAGAAACAGAGGTGAGTAAGGAGTGGCTGTTTAGGGGGCTAAAGGTGGCCCAAGATAAACGGTAATTAGACCCTGGACCTGCAACATTCTAAACTCTCCACAGTCTCCAGAGTGATAATCAGTTTGTCAGCCTTGTAGGAAGTTCAGTCTAAGGTGCAGGAGTTCTTTTTGGGAGCTTTTCTTTCACAGTTCTCCCTGTTGGCCAAGCATCACATTTTGTGCATGCAAGGACCACATATTATTCCCAGGTCGTCTTAGGAAGGCTCATTCCTAGAATCTGATGTAGATGAGGCTCAGTTGTAGGCAAGATAGCAGTCTTCAGGAGAGAGGAATAGCTAGCTGGTAGAGCCAATAGGAAAGAAAAGCCTGGATCATATCCAAACTGTGAGCCATGATCCGGATCTTACTTTTCTTTTGTCCTCTGTATCTGACATAACATTTGTGTGTGACATGTAATAGGATGACTACACTTAAAATAACCAAGAGTATTGCCTGGCCTAATGGATTCAATGAAACAGGCAACATTAAAATAAACATTAAGATAAAAATGAGATTGACTGTGTTTTCCCTGTATTTATAGTTATCTGTACTCTATGAACCATTTTGTTTATATTTGGAACATGCAAACAAATCTATTATTGTCTAATGTTTGGTTTGTCTTTGGATAAGTCAGCGTTTTGGTTGTTAGCCCTAACCTTTAATGGCTGCGCTATCCCTCCAGCCTTTCTTTGGATAAGTTAGACCTTATTTATAGCTATAACCTCATGGAGTGGCTAGCTCTAACTCTAGTAGAAGTTATCTGTGGATAATGATCCTATCTGTTGTATTATATTGGCATCATACCAGCTTTAGGTTATACACAAATTTGAATTTGAAAACTGGGCTTTTTATCCAAATCGTACTGAATAATTAGGAAAATACATATACAGTTTTGCAAAGAGTAAGAGCACATAAATTAAACATGAAAACTAGTTGAGTACGGTAGGGGTTCTGAGTAAGCATTTGTAACTTAATTTAAACCAAAATTAGCATTGTTTTATCATTTAGGAATATACTAAGTGAATTATTAGATATTAGAAACCATTAAAAATAGCTAAGCATAAAAGAGTTTAAGGAACAAAAAATTGAAAGAAATGTTCAGTTACTTGGGGTACTTGATTGTCAGTTAATTGAAGATGAGTCCCACCCAGTATCTCTGAAGTCTACATGAATGAGTCCTTTAGATGAAGTTGGTACATGAGACTCTTAAAATTCATCTCTTTTAATTTTGTAGTACAGGAGTAGGTTAGAAGTATCTAGATACAATCTTTACTCCCCAGCTGAATGGAGTGTTTTATGTGATGGTTCTTTTTTCAGTTGATGAAATCCTCTGAATTTCTTTATCCTTTAAGGAATATTCTGCAACTATTTTTGAATTTTTAGTAATCATATTTAAAAGTCCTTGTTTTTCTAAGCAAATTAACATTTAAGAAAGCTAGAGCATTGATTTTACCTCAGAGTATTGAA